CCCCCCCCCTCTAGCGTTGGGACTCTTTTTTAACAAAGGTTAGGGCTTTCATTATTTTGATACATATGCCCTAGTGTCAAGGATAAATTCCATTAGAATGATACTTAGAATAGATTCCTTGTGAAACTTGGAAGTTCATCAAATGGATGTGAAAAAAGCTTTCATTAATGAAGATCTCGAAAAAGTGATCTACATGGAACAACCAGAGGGGTTTATAGTTCCTTGTCAAGAAAGGAAAGTATGTAAACTTGTTAAGTCATCATACGGTCTCAAACATGCCCCAAAAGTATGGCATGAAAAGTTTGACCAGGTAATTATTAACTCTAGCTTCAAAATTAATGAAGGAGACAAATGTGTTTATTTAAAAGACACATTCCAAGGGTATGTCATGTTATGTCTCTATGTAGACAACATACTCATAGTATGTAGTAATGACAAGATGGTCAAGTCTACCAAAGATATGTTGAACTTGCGGTTTGACACGAAGCACATGGGTCTGGCTGAAGTAATTCTTGGAACTAAAATTGTGAGAAACCTGACGGTCTAGCATTGAGTCAATCCCATTATATTGAAAAAATCCTTCGAAAGTTCAACAAGGATGACGTTAGGGTAGCTAAGATGCCATTGGACGTCAACACACACTTGGCGAAATACCAAGGTTCCGGTAACTCTCAAATTGAGTATGCGAGAGCTGTTGGAAGTTTGATGTATCTAATGAGCTGCACTCGACTGAACACTCGACTGAACTTAGCATGTGCCATAAGTAAGCCGAGTAAATACACCAATAATCCGAGTAATGAGCACTAGAAGGCTATTGTATGTGTGATGAGATACACATGGATATGGCTTATGCTGCTTGAGATATCGAATGGTACTGGAAGGATACATGGATGCGAATTGGATATATGATAGTAAAGACTCGAAATACACAAGTGGGTATGTCTTTACGCTAGCGGGTGCAGCAATATCTTTGAAATCCACGAATCAAACATTGATTGCTAGGTCTACCATGGAATTTGAGTTTATGGCCTTAGATAAATATGGTGCGAAGCTAGATGGCTATGCCACTTCCTTGAGGACATTCCAAGATGGGACAAAGCAGTCCCACCGGTTTACATCTATTGTGATTGTCAATCAGAAATAGGATGTGCAAAGAGTAACATATATGTATCATGGTAAGTCTAGACATATTCTTTATAGACAGAAAACCATTAGACAACTTCATACAACTAAGATTAGCACAATTGACTATGTGAAGTCAAGAGATAATCTGGGGATCCGCTAACCAAAGGGTTAACAAGTGAGTTGCATGAGAAGTTGGTA